ATTTTATTCAGCCTGTTCATTTTGAGTCTGCTGTAAACTTGAGCACTAAATGTGTATCAATAGTCCCTAAGAAATGCACCTTTTAACCCTGTTTCTGTGACCTTTGGGAGAATCATGGCACACGTCGCCAAACTTTACCTTTAAAGAAAAGGGAGTGAAAGCTGCATTTTCTCCGTTCTGTGTTCATACCTCTGCTAGATTTCCTGCTGGACAGCTCGAAGGTGATGCCTCGGTAGAGCTCCAGGCAGATGAGCCCGTAGGCCGTCATCATGATGATGCCGGGGACCAGGAAGAGCAGCAGCACCAGGGACACGTACCTGCCAGGGACCAATTCAGGAGCATTAACTGTTGTTTAAATCAACACCGAGGCAAATATTATAATCCTCTCCCTTCGAGTCTAGACTAATGTCCTCACCACGACGTAAATATTTATATTAGATTGGATTTGTACTTAGCTTTGTATATTCTCTGCATTGTTTTGTCCCCCCCCACACACACTATAACAATTTCATCTGGTCCCTAAAAGCACTTTGACCGTGTCTGGTTTTTCAAATGTGCTGCTGTGAATAAATCAGCCTGACAAATGCACTTTTCCTTATTTATTCGTTTTAAACGCTGGGCTTTTGTTTTGAAGGGTCGGCTCTGCGACGGCGCCCCGCTGGTGACGGCTCACCAGGACTGCTGGATGACGTCGTTGGGCCACACCAGGCGGCACATGTACCCGGTGCTGTTGTTGTGGCGCGTGAAGGGCTTGAGGCCGCTGGAAACTGGGTACGGCAGCATCACGACGAAGGACGCCACCCAGGTGGCGGTGATGACCTTGGCGGCGTGGGATTTGGTCTGCCACGCCCGGGAGGTCAGCGGGTTGCAGATGGCGCTGTAGCGCTCCAGGGAGATGGCCACCAGGTTGAACGTGGAGACGCTCACCGAGACGCCTGCGCGGATCGAGAAATAAAGGGCAGGACGTATCGACGGGGTTATTGGGGAAGTACGAGCAACGAGGCGTAGCTTAGCTTAGCGTAGCTTAGCTTAGCGTAGCAGCGTCCAGATAAAAATACATGAGAGTGGCATCAAACTCAAATTAGGTTGATTCCCCAAACTGCAACTGTTCCTTTATAGGCAACCATCTTGGTTTCTGTTGTTTCTGGTCGGCCTCCTCACAACATCTGGACACCTCGGGGCCTGTGATGCTATGGCCCATTCATTTTGTGCGACATTAGATTACACATTGAGGTACATCCTGCACCGTTAGACACGCTCAGTAACGACGGGCCACGGGTTAAGATGAATTCCAATTATCGCCGCGTGTGCGATCCAAAAGCGAAGCGACGCGTAAACGGTAAACACGCGGACGGATGGGGAAATAATCCGATCCGATCGCACTAACCGGAGCAACAGGAAGTAAGGGGAGAAATTTGAAATCTGATTTCCTGGCGGACCAGTAATTGGATGAGGGCTGTGCTGACTGTACCTTGTTCCAAAGCTCCCGGTGAGAAGAACTTCAGGCATTTATCAAAATCACAAGCAAACTAATGGCGTGACAGTTGTTCCACGTCCCGGATCGGATTGTCCCTCTGCTGTTTATTACCAGAGAAACGGTTCTGAAGGCAGAGAACCGGAGACACTTTATATAAATGACACCGTTGGAGTGTGACCTAACCGCTGATGCTTCAGAAGTCCAGTGACGGGGTCTTTTGTCTTTCTGAACCGATTTGATTTGCCTCCGTCTGACTTAAGTGGGTCAGGTTGTGCCGTTTGCTCGTGCTGAGCCGTCTTATGCTCAGCCACTGTATCTTACGTCACACCTCTGCGAATCGCATACCGGACCACGTTGGGATCGGCTGCTCGTACGCACGCGCCTCGGGCGGCGGCTGGAGGTGCGACTTTTTCCCTCCAACAGATGCGACCGTGAAAACGGCCTTTAGTGTCGAACTCTGCACATCAGACGGTTGAAGCTCAGACGCTTCGAGGGGCCTTTTGAAGTTCTCCTCGAAAATGACCCTGTTGAGATTTGATTGTTTGTTTGCAATTGGCCGTATTTCCATATTTCCAAACTACTCATTATAGACCTCGTCTGTTAACATTCAGGAGGGTGAATAAGCAGCACAAGCAACGTGCAGGAGACGACAGATTTTACATAAGAAATGCAACAAAAAAAACAGCAGATCTGTTTTTAGCGCAATTTTAACTCACTAAATCACCATAAACATTTTTCCACGAAGGACACGGCCAAAGATGACTTCCTGTCGATGACTCACAATGCAGAGTTGAATAATATTGGATTGGGCAGAAATGAGAATCAGAAGGCAACAGAAGAGAACATTTTTTTTACACATTTGGACGCAAAGCTTGAAATATTCTGGCAATTTTTCTTAATTTGCAACTGTGCATTTATTTACCCTAATAAATTGATTAATTCTGTAAATCTTATCATTAGATGTTTTGATCCACAATGGATGAGGAATATTGTCCAAAATCACGTGACATTCGTCATTTAAGTTTAAAAAACTGCATGATTCAACATTGAAGATGATTTAAAAACAAAAAAAGCCCACAATGGAGCCCTCACCCATGAAGTACATGACCAGCTTGCACATGCCGGTGCCGAAGATGAAGTCCCTCATGAGGTTGGGGATGAGGGTGAAGGGGATGCACACCAGAGAGACCAGCAGGTCGCTGACGGCCAGAGACAGCAGGAAGAGGTTGGTGACCGTCCTCATGCGCCGGTTCCGCACCAGGACGGCGATGATGAGGCTGTTGCCCAGGAGGCTGAGGAGGAAGATGAGGCTGTAGAGGACGATCCGCACTGTCTGGTTGATGTCTGAGAGCAGCGGGGAGACACATGAGTGCACAAACACACAAACTCCGGGCCCCTCGTTGTGAAAATGGGTGCTATTTTTACCCGCGCGCTCCCTCTCCCTTTTTTTTTTATTGTGTTCTTAAACGCCCCAAATACATCCCAACACTTCTTGGATGTTCCTATCTGTTCACTTATAGACAGTCAATTTGAGGAAAGCCTCCATCACCATAATAAACCTAACTGAAATTGTAATAAGTTGCATTTTGGGGATTTTCTCCAAAGAAAAGCGCAAGCAGTGTTTCATTTAAAGTCTTGCGCCCATTACGCGTTTTGGTATTTCAGTTGGCATTGTGGGGGGAAAAAAACCCCGTGTTCACTGACAACGTGTCAACAGCACGCGGCTCCGTGGAGGAACCGAGCCGTGTGCGCGTAATGCGCATTGACGCGACGAGACAGTCGCTCTTTTGGCACAAAGACACTTTTGGTGGCATTTGGAACAAAACGTCACATTCCTGAATCCAATTGCAGGCCGGGATGTTCTATACATGCGATGTTTCACTTTAACGTGCAGAGGATCAATTCTCCTTACCTTTAGGTTCGGGAGAAGGTTCTTGCTCGCTCTCGCACTCGGAAAAATTCTTGATTCCAAAATTACATAAAATCCTGTTCAGGTCAGTCGAGTTTAGGAGCATGTCGTGTATTGTGAACGTCTCCATGTTGCGCTCTCTCTCTCTCTCTTCCCCCGAGTTAAACCACTCATATGAGGGGAACCGCACGCGTCATGCTCTTTTCACGAAAAGAAAATGCTCCGAATTGGTGAGATGCGTCCCAACAGGTCGTCTAAGGCAGGAATTTTTTTTTTTTTTTAAGAAAGGGAGAAATATAAATAATGGTCCCTACAAGCTCCCGCGCGCTCCCGGTTTGGTGCGCTGCTCTCCACTCGTGCTCAGCGTTTCCATCCACTGACAGCATGCGCGCGGGTTGCATTCCTCATTGCTCCAGCCCGCCTTTAGGGTTTGTGACAGTCAGCAGCCCCCCCCTCCCCGACCCCTCCCCTCTCTCACCCACGCCCCCTTCTTCTAAAATAAATAAATAAAATAAACAGTCATAACCTCAACACCAATAAAGATGCTGCGCACGGCAAAATCTCTCCATTGAGCATTCTTCTTTGTGCTTTATTATGACTCCAGATGTGTCGAATTGGACTGTGTGTAAATGTCACAGTGTCCCGGGCCATGCATGTTCTGCACTGCGTCCATAGGCCATCCGCGCTCCCGTGACACATTTCAAAGCACGCCATTGCCTGCAGTGGCGTTTCATGTAAACATGTCAGCAGCAATATGGGAGTTCGTTGACTCGTGCTGTAATTGTTCTGATGTGTGCAGAGATGCGGTGTCATCAGGGGCCGAATAACGCCAGCTCACGTGTTTGAACAATACGGCGTTTCTCTCCCTGCAAGAGTGGGAAATAAAAATAGTAATAATGTTATTATAAGCTCCTCAAGAGAGAAATGGGAACTAGCTATTTGCATGTGAGAGAAACACGACGGTTATGTGTGGTGCATTTAGCACAAGAGATGAGTTTACAATAATAGTTTCACCACTTTTCCACAACAGATGCATCTTAATTGCCTAGAAAACTGCAGTTTCCAACACGTGGTGGCCTCATTATGCTTAAAGCGACCCCTGTTAGTAATTTAAATGTATATTATATTTATTTTATTCGAACAAACCATGCAACAAAGTGTACCCAACATTGTATTGGTGTAGTTGAGGTAAAACTATATTTGTTACATTACCATTTGTTTGGTATCGTCATTTCTACCAATCATGCATTATATTTTGTTATCTGATCATAGGGAAGTCATATCACTGAATAAGCTGTTGGATGGATGCAGTGAGGTAAAAAGTGCAGTATTTCCATTTGCATGAGTTGAGGTAAAAAAGGAGCTTAATGAGTTTGAAGGCCAGCAGTTATTGAGTAATGAACTTTTTTTTTTTTTCAAATATGATATCATCAATATTCAAGTACTGTACTCAACTACAGTGTTCAGCTACTATTTTGTAATTGCAGTATTTCAATCAGTGTGCCAACACCGACTTTATCTGAAAGCTCATCACCTCGGAACCAAAGTACCCAGCCCTTGTCCCCCCCCCCCCTCCTTAACCCCGCGCACCGACGCTCCCCAGTTGCTAAGTAACCCCTGCAAGAGAGGCTGCTGCTGCTGCTGCTGCTGCGGCATCAACCGGATGCTGCCGACGCTCGATAACGTCAAACCGGACCGTTTCCCACGCAGAACCCCGCGGCGAGGAGGATGGACGACGGCTCCGAGCTGTCGCTGAGCGTCGCGCACATCGTGCGGCGGCTGAAAGGAAGCCACCTGCACGCGCAGATAGAGAGGCGAGCCAAAGTGAGTCCGCGCGAGCTAGCTAGCTAGCTTAGCGTGTGGCTAACGAGAGCAGCTTACGTTGTTGTGCCCGTTTTTCTTTTTTTATTTATAAATATAAATATATAAATATATATTAATTTACGCCTTTTCGTTTTGTATTCTCTGTTTTAATGTCCCGCAGGAGTGTTTGCATCAACCCGAGATCCGGCTGGATTCCCTCAGAGAGGACGTGCGCAGGTTTCTCAGGACGTCAGGTGGGCGCGTCACTGATCGCTCGTGCCCGATTCTCATAAAACAGTTCATGACAACTGACGTGTTCTGTTCTGTTGTCTATGTTTCACAGGCTGGGAAAGGCAGCTTCAGAATGCGGTGTACCGGGAACTGCAGGTGTAAGTTCCCCTCAGTCTGTTGCACCTTATATATATATATATATATATATATATATATATATATATATATGAATAACTGCATTCATGATACATCGTTACACCGATGATGCAAAGTTGCTCTTTTATTTTTTTTATGTTTCACAAATATTTTGCATTGTGACCTGCAGCTTACATTCATTCTTTGTCTTTATTTAGTCTTTGTCTCTTCTTAATCCACCTCCTCCTTTGAGTAAAGTTGTCATCAGGTGCTCATAAGGAAGGGGGGGTCGTAAAACATTCTTACCGGCTACATAATAATCCAAACGTACGTCCTTTCAGCTTTATTAAGATCAAATAGCCAAACGGATGGAACGCGCTTTGAATCCTTTGAAAGACCCCCGAGCGTAACAGCCCCCCCCCGCCCTGGTGCTCAGGCTGGAACATGCTTTGCTCTTATCTTAGGATGACATAGAACTTTGACTAATGCCCCCTTCTTTCGGCCGTTAGTCACCTCCATGTCCTCTCGTAGGTGTTTAGATTAGTTTGAATGCTGTTTAATGCACTGGGACCCTGAGTCATCCAACATGCCCTGAGCGTGCGTAGCAGGGGAAATGACATGAGACGGTTCGTGCGCCCGCCTCTGACTCATCTGCGCGATGCCGCTAACGGCGAATGACAACCTCGAAAACTTTCCATTTGCCCATTTCGACAGCTCTCCTTTGTTTTTAGGACTTTGAAGTGGTTCTCCATAGCGCTGCGTTCAATAACGCGCCTCTCGTGTGTTTGCTCGTTTCCAGCCAGCGGCCCCCGAGCCACCCGGCGGCTCCTCTGGAGCATCTCAAAGAGCCGCTGGCCTACATGCGCAAGGCACAGGTCAGTCTTGTCTCTTCATATCTCCGTCACGCCTCGCTCTTCTACTCTCTCCCCTTCTACCTCTCTTGATGGATGACTTTTTTTTTTTTTGGTTTGTTCTGTTTTTTTGAATGGGTCAGTCATATGTAACGTGTGTGGGTGCTGTCTCACGCAGGCCTGCTGGGAGAAGCGTGTCCTCAAAAGCCTGAACAGCATGAGTGCGGAGCTCGGCGTGCCTCTGGCTCGCATGGTAACTCAAACATTGTCAATCGCATCTGACAGGCAGCAGCAGCAGTAGTGGTGTAGGTAGCTTATGCCTCAGCTTCTCTCCAGGCAAAGGCCTCCATCATTGCAGTGAGAAAGAATGTTACCGTAAGCAGTGCTTCTGAAGCTATAGACCGAAACATGCAGTTGGGGGGGGGTCAGTTTTTATTATTTGTGCACACCCTTGTGATGTACGCTGAAATATCTCCCTCTTCCCGCAGAGGCCCGCAGCGGAGCAGAAGGAGCTCACCAGCAAATGGAACGAGATGGGCACGGACGAACCAGGTCTCCAGACGTTCCCCCGGGGAGGGGAGGGGAGGGGGGGGGCTTTTATGCATGATTAGTGTTGATGTGTCATCTCTCGACCACGGCCACGTTGGCTTTAGTGGCTTTAGTGCTTTAGAGCTCGTAGGGCACACGCCTTCTGAAACGTTGACGTGGACAACGAGCCGCTCAGCTGGATCATGTGATGGTTTTCCGGGTCCGGCTCACGTGTTCGGTTATTCATCTCTAAAGACGCGTCTGAAAGCCTCTCAGCGGACCGACCGTCTGCACGCCACGCCGGTACATTCGCAAAGGACGCGGTCGCGGCGCGTCCCATAACAGACGCTATCGCAGCCCGCTGCCATTTCATAACATTTAGGATGTGCCGTCGCGCGGCTGTAAACACTTTGGACTGTGAACACAGAAGCTGTCCAGACCCAGAACCCCCCCCCCCACAACCCCCCCCGCCCCCCCCTCCTCTCCGTCCAAACCGCTTCGTTGAAGCCGAGTGTCACAAACGCGGAGCATTAAGACGTTGATGAATGTCTTTGTCTGCCCACAGATCTCACTAGCTTCAGGCCTGTGTTTGCCCCCAAAGACTTCCTGGAGGTAAGCACATTTCCTTTCCTTTTTTTCTCGAACCTTCAGCGCTCCGTGAAAGAGAGGCTGAGCGCCCGCGTGCCGCGCGGCCGGTGGCTTTCTGCACAGGTGCTAATCAGCCTGCGCAATCCGAATTACGACAGCAGCGAGGACGTCGGCGTCAGGAGCCACTGGGGACTCATCCAGGTTCCCCTCGATGTCAGGGACATCCCGCAGCTGGTAGGGGGGCGCCCGTCTGTCCGTGATTAAAGCGCATTTAACCGCCTTTTACCGCATATCCTACAAAAGCTGTGTCTTTTTTTTTTTCTTCTGTACTTTCAGAGACGGGCCTACGCAGAGCTGAACCTGACCACCGGGCAGCTGGGCATCGACGACCACGCACACATCCATCCAGGTACGGCTGGACCAATGCGTGCACCTTCGCGGTCGGGGAGGGAATCTGATTTATTCCTTTTGGTAAATATGCAGCTGCAGCCCGTGAGCGGAGGGTGGGTTATAACCAGGGAAAAGCCGGCCCACTTGTGTACAAAAGGCATGGACCTAAAATGGGCCGACCAGCGCATCTGGAGCTCGGGAAATAAAACATTGTGTCGGCGAGAAGCTGAGCTGAGCTAAGCAGCTGCTGCCAGCGGCTTAGTATTTAGAGGGGGGGTGTAGGGGGTGGGGGGGGGGTTGATTTTTATCAAGCAACTCTTGGCAGGAAAGCAAACTATGCCCGTTGAACGGCTTCTGCATCCCGTCCCCATGACAATAAGAATGCATCGCGTCATAGCTGGATCATTACCAGTGGCAATACCGGTTTAGAAATTGGCCGGCTTAAATAGATGTCTTCTTTTTATCCAGGGAAATAGGAAATAGGAAATGCAATGGCCCATAGAGGATGATCAGTAATAACGAGAGATGAGACATCCGCTCGGCGGCGCTTTTTAATTTTATACCTGAAACTTATTTTCATCCTCGCGGTAGTTAATCAGAAATAACCCAAATAAATGTGTTTACCTGATGAACTCCGGGGGTTTAATGGCGTGTTTACCGCTCGAGGCCCCTCCCGTGCCACGCGGCCGCCTGGGTTCTCTCACACAATATCTCTGTTAAGTCCACGTATTGACATTGTTCCAGCCTGGTGTTTAGACTTTAAATAGAATCGTATCCACCGTCTCCGTCCTTGTAAATCAAACAGATAGCATTAGTTTGAAGAAGTGAGCCGCTAGCGGGCGATTAATAATCTGTGTGCTGCTCTCTCTCTCTCCCATTCTCTCTCTTTATTTATGTGCAGACTTGTTTGAAAATGAGTATCTTCAAATCGGGAAAAAAGGTCAGTGTCTTTTTAATTCGCCTCTAAACGTATCGCCGTAAATGGCTCTTTTGTTATTCCCGGTTCGTTAGCCAAGGCGATGCATGAATGCACCAGAGACATGCGAGCAAGTATCCCCCCCCGCCCCCCAACCCCCCCCCAAAATCTGAACCAAGAGCACCAACCGGGCACCGGGAGTGTCAATGCATCTTTATTATTCATTAGTGGTAACTGGGTGTTAAGTGAAGCCGGTGTTCTGTAATCTTGTGCTTTGTGGAGACGGTTGAACATCTGGGGTTTATTTGCATGTGATGTATATTTGGAAGTATTCACAGATCACAAATCAAGATGCTCGTGGTGGTGCAGGGAATTAAACCATTCTTTAAATCGTCCCTCTCTGCTGCTCAGGTGCAGTAATCAGCACTTCGTCGTCGCTCCGCCATGAACCTGGCTGAGGACACCAACCAGGGCCGCTGTGTTCCAGGCCGAGTGTTGAGTGCACTCAAATGGGAAATTTAAGAGTGCGAGCAGCGCGTTGGTTTATGTTATGACTGGGCCGCCACCTTAAGTCGAGGGGCCGCGTCTTTTTGGCTACTGTCACAACAGAGATTTAAGGGGCAGAATGCACATGTGGTTTCCAGAGTGTTTCTTAGTCATAGTTCTGTAATTACCAGCGATGTTTTTGGAGCACGTGGACGTGCAGCGACGGCGGGTCCGGTCTTTGGGTTTAATCGGCGTCTCGGCACATTTGCAGCTGATTTCATGACTTATCTTATTGTTTTTTTGGATGCAAGTCCCATTTGGCGGATGTTTTATTGCTGTGTTGATGGCGGTCCTCCTCTCCCAAGTTTAACTTGAAGAAAACAAACCTCTTTGCGGTTCTGGCGCTGTGGTTGTGCGGCCAGTGAAGATGTCCAGGTGTTGCTTTTCCCAGCTGCTGTTTGCACACATTATATAATTTTCCCGGCAATCCACGAGGCGTTCTGTGAATTCAGATGCATTCTTGGTTGGCATGTCAACTTCACTGTGCTAAATAAAATAGTAAAGTATATTTGATTAAATCATTATTAGTTACTTAACTAATTGAATTCTGTTATTGATTTCAATTTATAAAAAATATCATTTTGTCATATGTTATTTGAGTTAAATTCAATTATATTTAACAAATTTATCAATTTAAAATGCTTTAAACATAATTAATTAATTAATAATATAATGTATTTATTTTATTGTATTCCATATAACGTCATTTAATTAATTTAAAATTATCTTTTTTTTTTTTTAGTAAATCTAATAAAATGACTAACATTTTCAGCCCCAATGGGGGACATATAGGCTGTCCATGTCTCTTTGTGTCCTTTTTGTTGTTGTTGGGCCTTGACTTCTTCTTCTCCCTGGGATCTAGTGGTCGTGGAGCAGGACAGCGCAGCGGCGCAGCAGTACAGCAGACAGGGCTGCTCCACCGGGCTCCGTGCAGACCTGTGGGCCCTCATCCTTAACTCTAACAACCAGCCCCAGGTACACACACACACACACACACAACTTAGTGGCTGCTGTTAACCTGCCCGAGCACACACAGCTGCAGTGATTCCCAAACGGCGTGTTTACTACAGGGCGAAGTCTTCCCAGTCAGCGGTCGGGTCCTTTTTTTCTCTCTTTTCTTCAGGACCTCCCGTGGATTCGTCCTGTTCAGTTTGTGTCACCGTGGAAACACGCGACGTAATCTGTGTTTAAAGCCACCGTCCTGTTTCTCCTCACCGTGTGTACGAATGCGTCCCGCCCGAGTCTCCCGTTGGGCCCCCCGGGGTTGATAAAAGTATTCCCGGGGGGGGGGGGGGGGTCTGTTTTTATAAGTGTTTCTCTTTTGGCAGAATGGACGTGAGGTGTCGTCCATTGACGCTGTCCACGCTGTCTTTAATGCGTCCCGCCGGCCCCGTTAAAGCGGCCGTCTCCGCTTCCGTCCCCCGTCCCATCGCCCGCGAGCGCTCTCCGACCGGAGACACGTCTGAGTTTCACCATGTGTCCGGAAGACCAGAGACCCATCCGTTAAGCGGCGTTTAATCCTTCTGTCGTCGCAATACATAAACTTCACTTAGCAGTTATGTCTCCTTTTTTTTTTTTTTTCGCCCAGCGTAGAGAACTGGATTTTGATTTTGTCCAGGCGACACGAGTACGGGGAGGAACACCCGTCGGGTCCGTCCACAAAGCTCGTTCGTCAAGGAGGCCGCACGCGTCGGGCTGTGGATGTGAAAACCTGTTGGATGCTTTTTCTGTTTCAGGACGCGATGCATTACGAACAGCTGACGGCCGGAGTGGTGCAGCACGACCTGCTGGTGGACAGCCTCATCTATAAGGTATGACGCGCCTCCGTCAACATCTTACTGCCAGTTGGTTTTGTTCAAGTGAATTTGAGATATTTCCTGATGATCTGTATGTATACATGTATAGAATGCGCTAAAATGTGTTTCTAAACCGCCCCCCCCCCGCCTCTCCCCTCTCCAGGACGTGAAGCTCACCGCCAGTAACGACGACTACTACTTTGTGTTTGAGGATTTCCTCTATCAGGTAGGGCGCGCTCTCACAGGTCAAGGGTCAAGTGTGACTCACTGTAACGGAGCGTCTCGTTCTTTGTCTACGTCACATTTCCATTAATTAGCTGACTCCTACCTAAAGATTATCCTACTTACTCAAATTAATGGCTTTATTTATCAGCATCTCTCGCAAAAAGTTACACGTCTTCCCAAAAATATCCAATGCGATCGCTTCTAGCGGACAGTTTTTTTTTTAGCTCCGGTCGGGCCCCGATCCCAGGAAAGCCTCCAACCTGTGGCTTTTTATTCGGGGTAGTCCGCGCTCTGTTTGCACATCGCCGCCTACTCGGCAGCCGGTTCATTCAGTCGCCGCGTCGTGCTCCCCGCCGGGCCGACCAATGAGGACGCGGCCGCAGCAAGAACAAAGCTCCGGTATCGCGCTCCGTGTTGGCCGACGATAAGAGTCGCTAAGGCGGTGAAAGAATCCACTCTCTAACCGCACTCGATTAGACAATATCGAGGCAATGAAGTGAGCCGTACGCGTAAAACACGTCCATCGCGTTTACCTCAAACAGCTCATGCATTCATTAACCTTTTTGGACCCGGCGAGTCCTCGCTCGGCAGTCTAGACGCACGCTGCAGGCCGCTGCTTTTTAATCAACGCTGCTAAATGGCTGACGTCTTATTTCTCTCCCCGGAGAGTATCGCCCCCTTCCCGGCTGCATAATTCATCTGAAGTGGCCGCTGGAAACCAAATCTCCTCTCAAAAAGACCCGGAGATGTCTGAGGCGGGTAATGGAAAGAGCTCCCCTCCGTACGGACGCTTTGTGAAGCGTCCTCGCGGCCATGCGTCACTACCTCCTCAAATATGACTCCACTATTCCACTTTAAACCCTGATCTTAAATATTGCATATTTGAATGAGTTTGCTCACCTACTTGCAAACGTAGTCTTTGTTAAGAACAACGATTTATTACTTATTAAATGGCACATTCAGTGTAAGTAAGTAAAGAAATGCCACGCGTGCGTTTAATGTAGCCTATTGTTGAATAGAAGGATATTTGACAGAAAAAGGTGGCATGAGTTTCCCGGCCTCCTGCATTTAAACGATCAGTCGGCGGTTCGGCCGGCAGCTGGAGCTCACGGCGAGCTCTGCGGCTGCGATGCTTTAATGGAAATAAAAGCAAAAGCGCTCAAGGCCATCAAAAGAACAGTGTATCAGCCTTTGATTCCCTGTTGTCAGGCAGAGGATTATGTTCCATTATGTGCATGTAATCCACACGTGTGTGTGTGTGTGTTACAGGTGTTGCTGTGTTTCTCCCGAGACACCGCCGTCCTGGAACACTTCAAATACAACAGCGCCACTCCTCCCCGATCCTTCGTCCAGGGTGAGATGATGCGGCCTTCAGCACAATGAGCACGCGAACGCCGCCGGGTGACTCGAGGCGACGCGGCAATGTGATTGTCAAGCGGGTTACTGTACCCCCCCCCCATCCCGCCCCCGTGCTGCAGGTCTTAGTTATTGATCGATCCGTGTGTCTGTTTAACAGGGAAGGGAGAGGATGAGGAGTGTGCTGTTGTTTATCCTCCCAACGGTGAGCGCGCACATTTACGTCATGTCCTTTTTATACAGAAAACAACATTTTTAATAAAACTTTTTAATAAAATATTTTACATTGACATGTTTAAGAACGCTTTGATCTCCGGTTTTGAGACCGTGTACATGTTTAAAGTGAGATTAATGAACAACTGTTAAAAGGTCACTTTGGGCCGCTTCTTTTGTTGTTTTGTCCGTAGGTTTAATTGTCGATTTAATTTTTTCCCAAATGTATGAATTTGAAAATCATATTTCCACAGGAGTCATCCCCTTTCATGGCTTTTCAATGTATGGTGAGTGTATTTTGAACCCGTTTGTTATTGCACTGACTTGCCGAAGATGACTGCAACAGAACTGTATGAGCTGTGCGTGCGTGTTTGTGTTGCTCCGCAGTGGCGCCTTTGTGTTTCTTGTACAACGAGCCATCAAAGCTGTACAGCGTATTCAGGGAAATGTACATCCGCTACTTCTTCAGGCTGCACTCCATCTCCTCCTCTTCCTCGGTGAGCTCCTTCCGTCCTTTCCTTTCCTTCCCTTCCATCGCTCCACCGCTGCACCAACCCTCCAGATTAAAAACCCTTCTGCCCCCCCCCGTACTGCCCCACAGGGGGTCGTGTCCTTGTGCCTGCAGTTTGAGCGGCTGCTCCAGACACACCTGCCTCAGCTCTTCTACCACCTGCGACAGATCGGGGCGCAGCCGTGAGTAGCCGCCTCTCCTCTCTGTGACTCACCCCCCCACCCCACACACACACACACACAGCTTATTTCTATTATGTGCCTCTGCCACCTGGTGGTGAGTTTCTGCGATCACAATTCCCTAATTAGAATAAAAGCCTTTGCTGACGCTGGATCCCTGCGGTGTGGCGGTTCTGTGTCCCCAGGTTGCGTATAGCCTTTAAGTGGATGGTCCGGGCCTTTTCCGGCTACCTCTCCACTGACCAGCTGCTTCTCCTGTGGGACCGGATCCTTGGATACGACTCCCTGGAGATTGTCGCAGGTGAGGGTTGTTGCACTGTAAGCCTTTGATGTTTAATGGACACTGTTCTAATCTCCCACATCCCTCGCTTATCTTATCTTGTATTTCCACACACAAACGTCCTGCAGTCCTTGCGGCCGCTGTGTTTGCCTTCCGCGCTGAGAACCTGATGGAAGTGACGTCCTTGGGCTCAGCCGAGGTATGTCTGTCTCACATTAGACGTGTGTGTGTGTGTGTGTTTGACACTTCAATCCTCTCCCCGTCCCTCACATACTCCTGGAAGGCTGCAAATAGCCGTTAATGACCAGCCAGCACCGGTAACCCGGTCTCCTGCGTGCACATGTCTGAGAAATGCCTGGCTGGACACTTCAGAACCCTCAGCCGCCTCACGGCCCGTCCCGCTTCCACCGAAAAGAAGCGCCGACGTTATTTCACGTAGGGTATCTGGACGAGGCAAAACGGACTTATTAAATAAGCCCGAACTCTCGTCATGCACATTCGGCGTTAAGGCAACCTGCAGGTGGGTCGGGGGCCTCCTCACCTGCGTTGCGTTGTCATAGTAACCGGTAACGTTATTCCCGCGCGTGTCTGCGTTTGTACGCCGCGCCCTCTCCCTCCCACTGTGGGCCCACTATCGCATGACTGGAAAACCGACAGTAATCCATACGATGACCCCCCCCCACCCCCCCTTTCCCCACAATGTGATGTAGCTGATGTGCCGGCCGGCGATATTTGCTCGCTCATTTACCACCTGCCCCCCCGAGCAGAGAGACACGATATCATAACATACTGCTCCTTACCTTATATTTAGAACCTCAGGCCCAGCGTTGAAATATTAAACCGTCTCTGTAAACATGATAGGGTCCCTAAATTTAATCTCCCACCGATCCCATTAGGACAGGGACGGTATGGATTGTCAGCAAGGATTGTCGCTCCCTCCATCATTGTGCACGCCGTCTTTTTTCAAAATGCTGTCCTGCCTTTTTTTGTAATGTAGAAATACGTCTCTCTAGGAGGAGCGAGGGTTTTCGTGTGCGATCGCTTTGGAGGACCGGGGAGTTTAGGTGACCAGTCTTTATTTGCACACTGCAGGCCGTCCTCGCCGACCTCTCGACCCTGAAGGTCATGCCGCTCATCCAGATCTTTCTCTTCGCCACTGCCATCTGAGGAGCGGCGGAAACTCACAGCGTTGGCGGTGGTCCAGCGCGGGATACCCGGGCCTCCTGCATTTCTGCCAAACCTCAGCACGCTCATAGAGAATAACCCATGTTATTAGATAGTGTATACCGCATGTAGGTGCAGCCTACTAAGCAGTACGGTTGAGCTAACCCCCTTAAGCCATATGCTCCGCCGGGAAGGCGATGCGCCCCGCATGAAGCAACTATGTGTTTGTGCCATAGCAGCGTGCAGAGATGGGACAACAGGAAACGAGCCGGGCTAATGGAGTGTTGATTGGCGCTTGCGATTCGGTCCTGCTCCGGGGATCCTGCTTGTTCTACCGCTGTTAATGATGCCGTTGCCGACGGATGAGGAGATCGTAAAGCGTTGGCGTGCGCTGACGCGTTGAGTGCATCAGTCAAATTGTACAAACTTGATTAATATGTAACTGTATGTATGTTAGAAGCTGCTGCGTGTGCAAATCATTTATTGTATTTATGAAGAAATTGCATATTACTGCTTGAAGGGCATTTAGCACCTGCAGTGCCAGTATTTCATTAATTTTGTATTTATACTTCTGCATTGAATTTATGAACGTATTCCTCTGTTACGGCTATGCAGTACGTACAGCGTATTCCACCTTTGAATTGAATGCAATCGAATCCTTTCTTCTCCTAATTCTTAAGTATTATTCATCAGCCAATGTCTTCCATCCAACCCATTCGATGTCCTCAAATAACACATTTCTCAAAATGAGATGAAATTGTTCCATCCTCTTGGATGATTGAATAAAATCTTTGAGAGCTTGGACCATGACATTTTCTTTGTAGCCTTTGAGTCATTTTGTTGATATTTCCTCTTCCTCCCTGAATAAATAGTTGTTTTCACAGTTAATGTGCTAAATATTTCAGAAACTGGTCGCAGTCACTCCTGGAAAAGGCTGAAAAAAGGTAAGGTGGCGGGTGGAAGCATCGAGGGGAGTCGACCTGCCGTCCCACTCCTCCCACATGTAGCATCTGCTCTATTCCTCCCTCGTTGTTCCCCCACCCGCTTTCTGTCAGCTCGTATCAAATTATGCTGTTCTTCCCTTTCCCTCTCTCCCTGCTGCGTCTCCCACCTGTTCACCAGGACATGTTTTTATCATGCACCCCTCTTTCGCCCCCCCTGCTCCTCCTAAGCAGCCCTTACCTGCCGTGTGGTTCACTCCTGGAGGGGTCGCCGATGGGTGCCACATACCTGTAAACCTCTATCCTAAGGTTGCGCTGACGCTGAGGTTAAAATGAAATACTAATGAAGAAAACATCCGGATATGAGTAAATTTAAGTTATTCAGTATGAGACGACATAACGCAGAGAATGTTTTAGAATGTATGAGTGGCCGACCACTAACCCTCAGCGGGTGGAAAAAGTTTATTTGGAAAAAAGTAGGAAAGCGGCGCGGGTCATTTCTGTAAGAGGTCCCTGACCGGGACACCTGAGCGTACATAAAACTGCAGTCTGTAATAAAGTCTTTACTGCGAGCAAAGGAGTCTTATTTCCCCCTGGTCTGTATGCACTGTTTTAAACAACGCTGCTGTCTAAACAATGTCTGTGAAGGCAGGTTTTCCTTAAGCAAATGCTTGCTACTGTATTTCTTTATTGACAGATCTCATCTCGACAGAACAAATGTATGTGTATTTCTTTTTAATCAAACGGCTGGTTCCCATCCTTCAAAAACAGATGTTTACAAATCTCAACATCCCATTTAGTTAGTTTCTTTTATTTGATGTGGAGACATCTGCATCGGATTTCTAAAATATGGATATGTACACACAAGGACACGGATGTACTGTGTTTAGTGATAGTAGCAGAATTCTAAGAAACCGGAGGCTTTTCTTTTCAGCCAAACAGATCGTTTAAATATAATTATTAAAAATGAAACAAATTAGGATTATCATTATTCATATTAATCTGATAATTATCATTAACGCCAGCATTTGGATGAGACTATTTCCCGCGACGATTGTTTTCAAAAATGACAAAAAAAAAGGTGCTGTCTGAATCAACCAATCAGGTTCTGCCATGTTGGGACAGTCCATCCAATCAGAGCGCTCTACCGGGAGGAAAGCGGACGTGGGTCGTGAGTACCGGAAGTAAAGAACAATGTAGCGAGTGTCAGCCGCCGCGTCATCGTGACAGACAAAAAAATAAAAGACACTATTGTGACGATGATTCCTCCGCGTGGTGACGTGATGCTTCCCCTAAAAAACAAACAACAAAAATGATTGAAAAAAAAGAAAAATAAAATATATATAACCGCATGAACGCCCCCGCCCCGATGTCGAATCAGCTCGCATTGTGACTTCCGCTTCCCTCCCCCGGAGTGCGTCGATGTGACGGCAGGACACGGGGCCGAAGCCCGGCCGTCGAAACATCACTTGCTAAAAAAAAAAAAAAAAAGAAAACCCACGCAGAAGTTAATTTCTAACGGATGTAGGCGGATTTTTTGGGTTAGGGTTTTCAGTAGATGCAGGTCTTCGGAGACGGATTTAGGGGAGAGAGGGGGCGCGCGCGCTCGTGCACGTGTGTGTTTCTTGATGCGATGGGATTTGCTACTTTGGCGTGAAGAGGCGGACCTCTGAGACGCCGCGAGCTCACTATGCTGGAGCCGTCCGTCCCCGGCGCTCGTGTGCTGTACGTGAAAGTACAGGGACTCCTCTGCCCCGACCCGCGGGCCTACGCGGGGATTCCGACGCGCCGCACGGCGCCACCCAAAGCCCACGGATACCCCCGGTAGAAAAGACCCAAAAACTACGAGGCATTTTCCTGCCATTTGGTCTGTTTTTTTTTTTTTTTTTTTTGGGGGGGGGGGGGGAGACAGGGAAGACAGGGAAGACAGGGAATTCCTTCAGACAAGGCTGCATGTGCTTTGCTAACTTTCGGTGTTCATTACGCGGTGTTTTTAGTCCCCTCTAATATATATGTGTGTATATATGCATTTATCTCTCTATATATGTGTATATATTGGTAGAATTAGACATGGGGGGCTGCCTCGTCGCTGGCAACAGTCTCCCCTCCGGAACAGCCTGTAAACCCATCAGAGGATTCTTTTTAAATGCCCTTTAGTAGTTCGGCTCGTCGTTAACCGACCATGAACTCTTATTTTCTAGGTATTTTAAACTCTTCCGTGACCTCCCGTCTCAGCTGTTAAGTCGTTTTTTTCTGCGGGGATTTTTTCTTCTTTCTCCTGGAAGTTGGTGCATTTCCAGGTGTCTCTTCTGCCCGAGACACCCCGCATTCACCCGGCTTAAAAAGACTGCTTTAAAAAAAAAAAAAATCAGCACCCCCCCCCCCCCCACCCCCCTTTTGCCCGGGATCACCCCAGTCATCCCCGCTCCCAGTCCCGCGGATGCCAGTCCACTAAGCTCTTCCTCCACCATGAGTTGCGTGCACACGGCGCTCAATGTTTTGCTCCGTGGACTCGTCATCTTTGCGGTACTCGGCTCGGAGCTCACGCACTCCACGCACCTCTCCGGCCACGCGTCCGATGCTGCGACTGTGGCCCCCGCAGGTAAGCGCAGACCGTGTCGTACACAAGTGTCTCCATGTACAGTGTCTCTACCCCCCCTCTTTATTCTTCCTCCTCCTCTTCCCTGTGGCTTTCTCAGGGGGTAAGCGATCCACCCCCCCCCCCACCCCTCCCACACACACATTCTGTACATACATCAGAGGGGAAACGCATGACATGACGGGAATGCGCGACGCGTCCTCGCCGCCGCATCATCATCATCATCATCATCCTCCGCGCGCACGCAGCGCAGGAAGTAACGTGCAAAGTAAAAAGGAGGCCCGTCCAAATGCCCCCTGTTGACATTCGCGGGTGTTTTCTTGGTCATTGCCGAGGGCCACAGGTGATCCCCCCCCCCTCCCCCTCCCCCCACAGACAGCCTGTGTAAGTGTGCTATTGCTGGGAGGCTTTACATATATTTGCATCCGTTTTAACCAGGAAGTATTTATTAGGTTTGACAGGTTTTTTTGTGCACCGTTGCCTTAACCTGTTATTTAACTAATTGGTACAGGGTCATGTTGAAGGGGGGGGGGGTTATGAAGGACGCTTTACTTTTATTGTGTAACCGCTCAATATTAGTGTTGATTTTTTTCCCAACATATTTAATGTACAGTTGAGGACAAACTGCAGGGATTCAGCTCAGTGTTCTAATAACGAAGCCGGTGGAACAGATGAAGGAGCCGCGTAAACGAACACATGCACATGATTGTGTGCAAACACTGGTGATGTTTTACTCAAATAGTACATCCTATTTGCACATCCTTCTTACTGCTCAGTTTTACTTTATTATCATGTTCTCGCTGCGTGGCTACTTATTGTGACTATTCTCTGAAGCTCTGTTTTATCCACTCAAAGAGGACCTCAAATATACGGCGTAATTGATCGTGAATTCAGACTACGGTCCAGCGATAGTCAAGGTTGCAACGGGTGGACATGCTACTGGAGTGGACATTCATACAGATAATTCTAAAAACGACATCCTTCCTCAACTATTCCAAGCACCCTGCAGAGATTTGTTTATAGTCGTTTACCTTGTTTGTTTGCAGCAGACCGTGTGTTGTGACTCCCGTCTCTGCGTTAATGAAGCTGCAGAAACAACATGAGGATTCAAAGAGCTCGACACTTTGGGGAAAATACTTTTGTAACAAACCGTATGCGAGCAACTGTTGTCAGGCCGCGTGATGACAACTGACCCGTCTCCATGACAACTGATCAAACGCCAAAAAAACGTCTACCTGCAGATGCACCGCGTTCCGTTACCAGTCCTGGATGGCGGGAGTTAGAGGGGGGGGGGGGGGGGGGGGGGGGGGTGTCAAGCGTGAGTCAGACATGAGTCAGACAATCACTGGCGTAAATATCAGCTCTGCTTATGAAACAACACGGCGACATTTAAACCCCCCCCCCCCCCCAAAAAAGAGATGCTGATTTCAAGTGTGTTTTCCCGTCTGTCACTTGTCCTACTTACCGATCTGTGTGTTGACACCTGCAGGTGTGGGGATGTTAGACGCACACAAAGGGCAACAAGAGTGTGAGAAATGTCTCCGCGTGGACGATGACGTGGGGGACAGTGGTGATTACATTTCCCAGCTGACTGCTGTGTGTGTGTGTGTGTGTGTGTGTGTGTGTGTGTGTGTGTGTTTATGCAGGGTAAACTTGATGGATGAACCGCTGCTTAAGTGGTCTTGAACTGTGTTTGTGTCGCCTCTTAACTGCTACTTCATGTTGGTTTTCAGGTGAAAAACAAACCGCTCTGTTTCCAAGCCGAATTTTTTTGGGGGGGGGAATAAATCGCAGCCAATTGAAGCTGAAAACACTCGGGGTAACCGCTGCTAATGACCGCCAATGCGCGGCAACTAAAGGCTAAAAGGTGCTAAAATACCTTCCCTTTCCTCCCCGTAGGTTAGCATGAGCTAAGTTTAGCAATAAGCATTCAGCGATTCACCAATCGTACCATCTGTGACTTAACGAGGGCGCTCACAAATCGGGTTACGCCGCTGAGCGATGCACTTCGTCGGGAATTATTAGATTGGCCTGCAGGTGATTCTGCACACACACACACACACACACACACACACACACACACACACACACACACACACACACACACACACACACACAGTGTGTGCCTGGGAATGTCACACACATTTGTCAGCAATGTATGATACATGTCTCGCCCTGGTAATTGAGGTTAGAGAAGAGGCTGCTGCTGCTGTTGTTGTTGTTGTTGTGGCCACTTTCGGGGTTGAAAGCTGCCGCCGTGCTCGCTGTGAGTGGTGCTTAGTCTGACCTTTGGCGGGTCGGGCGGCTCAGTGGGATTTCCGGATCTTCAAAAGAAAGGCCGGACTTTTATCGGAGCACAGACTTTGTTTCAGTTATAAAGCAGGTGATGGAGAAGGATTGTAAACGTGCTTTTGTCCGAATTCTCTAGAAGGGTCTGGAAGGTGAATAATGGCTCGAGATTCACCCTTTTGTGGAGAGTTTTTATACTGTGACTTTTTCTCAGGTACTTGTACCGGTCGGTAGTCGCTGTCCGCTTGTTCTGCCTTCGTCGACTTCTCTATTTCACTCCGGAAAAGTTGCGTCATGTAAAAGCAGAAGTTTAACAGATTAACTGGATTATTTATGAATGTCAGGCACCTCCCTCTTGGACAAAAGACGAAGGCGAATCCGGCGCTGATGTAGAAATGGACGCCGGTGTGGAATGACACCGCGTAGAGTGGTTTTTGGGTTGAAGCAATGTGCTCCTTGTGTTCCTCATCGGGGGTGCCCCCCCCCCCCCAGGGGGTAATGGTGTATTTAGATTGTTTAGCCTTAAAACAAACACAGCCCTTCCGTGAGGAACATCCAGTTCTGATGTGCTCTGCTGGATGATAGTTTTCTCAGAAAGTTGACCCCCATTAAGCAAAAGCTTCACATAATGTACGACTGCACGAGCGGTCGGCGGCGGGTCAGAGAACCCTCGATGGCAGTGAACTTGACACGAGTAGATCTCTCTCGCACTCTTCCTTGCTTGTCACGTAGCTTCCGCCGCGAACCGCTGAGATTAGAGACGTTTCGGGGGGGGACGAGCTGCTGGATGATGCAAAACCAAGAGGTGACATCGGGTATCTCTGGAGCAAAGTGACTGCACCGATGAAGGGGTTTGTTTGGAAAGGAGGCTCAGCATTTGCCTATCTCGCCAGTGCCTGCTTAAGTACTGCAGGGGGGGCGGGGAGGGGAAGTGGCCAGGAATTTGCATTTTGTGATGCTTCCGCCGGTGGCTGGCCATGTTCTATCAAAGTCACACACTCGCTGGAGGAAAGCCAGGCTTTACTCAGTCCACGCGGGGTGTTGGAGCTTCCGGGGGGGGGGCGAGGTTTGGGTTCACCCCCGGGGCCCGATTGTGTGTTCGAGGGAACGTGGAGCGAGTCGTGATGTTCCATTTCCTTTCCCTAACTGGAACAGACTGTTCTGAGCTGTCCCTCGTGAGCACAAACAGAACAAGAAGGCGACGAAGAAGACGGACTTCTGAGGATGTCGCTCCAATGACGGCGCGAGATGCAGCAGCCGCTAAACCTCCTAAAATCTCCAGGACTCCCCAAAACCACGGGAGGCCCTCGGACACAAAATGTTGGGGCCCGATGGTTCCAGCACACACAACCGAGTGCATGACCCCCCCCCAATACGAAAAAGGCCGCCGACGCGTCGCCACGTTGACTTCCCCGACGAGTGGACAGCTGCCGGCACATCTCTTCCGGCCGGAGGCTTTATGGTTGTGATCCGACCTGATGGGAACAGAACGGCCCGCGGTGTATTTATAAAGCATTTTCCACCGCGCTCCCTCCGGCGTAACTGACCGTGACCTGTTCCGACTTTCGAGCGGAGATGATGCGGCTTCCACCCTTCGGCGGGCCGGGGTCCCCGAGTTCAGGTCGAGGCGCTAACGAGCTGCAATGGAATGACCCCATTCAGGGGGATTGGAGGTACCGTTACTAAGTCACTGACCCCCCCCCCCCCCCCGTTGGGCGGCCAAATGACATCGACAAAGGCGCGTTTCGGTATCCCGGGGACCGTGTCCCTGTCACATCCTGCTTCTACAGAAAATGCCGGGGGTTCTACTTTTGACACCCGTCCAGTAGGCTGACGGGTCGGGCGAGAAGGCGCCTGGGAGGGAGATGTAGGTCACCCTGCTCAGCCGTACAGTGTCCCCTGCTGTGAAGCGTCTGCACCCAGAGGGGGACTATTGTTGTCCCGCTCCGCCACACTTAAAAGTGTTGATCCCCCCCAGCTGGCAACACATGTGAGCTCGGCTGGTTGAGCTCTTTGTAATGGATGCATACAAGCAAACAAGTGATATAGACGGTAGAAACACAGCAGTGCTGAAGCAGTTAGTGGGCTGAAGGAAAATGAGTTATCCAACAAGTTTTTTTATTGTTAAATGCTAAACATTTGTTCATTTATTTAGCTCCTTGAATGTGTGAATCGAATTTATAGGTACACTTTTTTTTCAATCCCCAAATAAAAGTTTGGGGTCCCCTGTTATGGACCTGACTGGATAAAATAAGTGGATTTAATGCAACAATCAGTCAGTTCAAGCCATAAAAACATAGAAAGAAAGACGGCCACTGTTTCAGAATAAAGGGCAGATAGAGGTCGCAGCTAATGACATACTACTTGTCACCTTAACACAGGAAGAAGCACATGCGCTGCCCTTCACAGAAGCCCAAAATTGCCTCCGCGGCTTTCTTGCTCTGGGTGTCATTTCCTGTCTAATCGCCAGTCACTGAAGAATTTGTTTTCTCAGCACTGGAAGTAAAATCGTCCATTTTACATGTCGTGAGCTGAGACTTAACAACCCCCCCCCCCCCCCCCCCCCCCCAAAGGTTTATTCTAATCCCTCTGCTTTTCAGTGTCACACTACCTGTTTAGAAATGGGAAAGATGAACAGATGTTCTGTCCACAGCTGATTTTTATTCGGGGCAAATGTGTATTTGTAAGTTGGATTTTGGACGCGAGGAGCCGTC